GTCAAAACACAGGATTACACACCCCGGAGCCGCGGGACAGGAGCGCACCGGCACCCCCGAGGCACCCAGTGCCCACCACCTCGGGCAAGGCGGGCTGGGTGGCCTGCAAAGCAAGTCTGGGGGTGCCCTCTCCTTGCACCCAGTGTCTCTGAAGGCACCAAAAACCCCACGGGGAAAACAGCCCGAGAGGCACCTCCCACACCCCAGGCCTGCTCCGGTCCTGGCTGAGACGGTCCCCACTGCCAGCATCTGGGACGGCGGTGCCGGCCGTCCCCATCCCTGCCCAGCTCCGCAGCTCCCTGCAGCCAGGGTCCATCTGTCCCCCGGGGTGGGGGGCCCTGGGATGCTGCCCCGCTCAGATCTCCTGCAGGAAGTCCACGGGGAAGAGCCCCACTTTGCGGCCAGTGTAGACTTTCACGTAACCATTCACCTCCTCTCCCTTCTGCACGACGATCTGGGGGCAAGAGGGGTGCAGGTGAGGCTCCCAGGGCCCCACAGAGCAGAGGGAAGGTGGCAGCCCCCAGGCAGGGGTAGGGCTGGGCAGAGCGGGCCTCATCCAGGCGTGCAGCACAGCACCAGGGCAGCCGTGACGGGTAGGGACCTGGAGGGAGGCTGGGGCAGAGATGCGGGTCGGGGCTGGAAGGCGCCTGACCGCATGGTCCCGTCTCACCTGATCCTTCTTGAGCGTGATCTGCCCGATCTCCCGGTTGCCCACAAAGGAGCGCGTCACCTTGTGCACCCGTTCGCCTGCCCGCACCCGGATGATGAAATTTGGAGGGAAGTAGCCAATTTTTTCACCAATCTTCCCCTGAAAGAAGTCAGTGGATGGGTGCAAGGTGGGTGTTGGAGCCAGTCTGTACGACCCCTGGATTCCCCCATGACTAACAGCCTGCAGGTTGTGGGTTGGCAGGAGGACACAGCAGATTTAGGGGGCTGTGTCCCCCTTAGAGTGCAATTGGCACTCCCAGCTGACCTCTCCCGTTCCCCTCTGTGCTTGTAGGACACCAGCCTTACCCTCCACCACTCCTCATTGGAGTCGTCGACCACCGTGATCTTCTCCCCTGGCCTGCGAAGGGAAGGAAGGGCTCAGTGTGAGGGGGGCCAGGGACGCCCCCACCATGGGAGACCCTGAGGTTGGCAAGGAAGATTGCTCTTTCCACAGCACCAGCTCCTACAGCCCTGTGTCGGGGAGGTCAAGGAATGCACACAGCCTGTGGCCTCAGGGACAGACAGGTCCTGTACGTGAGCAGCTCAGCCTCAAGCCTAGGGTGCCAGAAACCAGTGGAACCACTTGAAGGCAAACACCGGCAGCCCTGGAAATGAGGCTTGGGCCTGAAACCTGGGAGCCGAGAGAACTGGCTCAGCGAAGGCGAGCGCCCAAGTGTAGCCCATTGGGGCAGGCAGAAAAGCCTCAAACCCCAAACTCCAGCCAGCATAGCTCTAATTTCTGCCCTCATTCATTCACAGACCCCTGCTGGCTGTGAAAGCCTCATTGTTGAGGGGAAGACTTCTCCCCTTCCCCGCTGGACACCCCACGTCCTTCCCCGCACCACCCCTGGGCCCACTACGTGGCTGGGAACTTACGGGAAATCCAGGTCATCTTTCTCCAGGGCTTTGAAGCGATAAAGTGCCACAAAATAGTGAGACTGCAGATAGCCACCGCGAATCCCTGGCTGTGGCTTCTTGTTCTGGGGGAGGGAGAAAGAGGGGTTCAGGGCCCCAGAGAGCCTGAGGACAGCCCCAGGGAGCACAGCAGGGAGGCAGATCCCTGCAGCCTTTGCCCACGCTGCTCCAAGGCCAGGGGCCTTTGGGTTGTAGGGTGAAGAGGACAGCGACCTTGTCATCTGTTGGGCTCTTCTCAGTCTTCTTGTCCCCTTCAGAGGTGCCTGGAAATGGGAGGAGGGGGGGTTACATTTCTCCTGGTGCTGCCTCCCTGCCCTGGGACCAGCCTCCTCCCAAGGATCTCCTGTGCCCAGGCCAACAAGGGGAAGCAGGGTGGATATCTGAACTGAAGACCCCCCCTTCTGCAGGGCAAAGCCCACCCCGGTGGGCCCCCCACGTACAGTCTCCCCATCAGGCTTCCTCCCTGCCCTGTGCTTGTGGCTGGGGAGTGAGCCGCCCCCCCGACCCCCCGCTCCC